AGCTATTTTAATTACATCCAAGTCAGAGAGTTTTCAACGGTAAATCTAATAATAATAATGGCTAACGGCCATATCGCGTTGAAACGCTGGTTCTGCAGGATTACCGAACTTAAACAACGTCGAGCTTGGTCAGCATCTAGATGGATGACAACTTGGGAATACCAGGTGCGATAAGCTTGGATGTGTGTAGCAGACATAATGAACCAGAACCGGAGTCAAATAGCAGAAATGGTGAACGGGACTTGCCTTATTCTCGACAAAAGAAAGAGAGTTCGTCTTTGTCTGATATATAAGACTGATTTGAGAGAAGGTGAGTATGTCGTCCCGTCAAAAGAGACCCTTCTTCTTTGTTGTCCCACAAGAAATTGGTTCATTAGTAACTGTATATAATATTAGCATAGTTGGATGGAATCGAGGAGAGACATCCGGGTGTGTTAGCGCTCCATTCTGAGGTGCCCGGTGATTGGTGATTCCCCCATTATAAGTAGACCATCATGGAGATTAGTGAGGTCTTCTGTCGGGGTATATCGTACTGTACGTACAGTTGTCATAGGAGGAACGAACGATGAAGCAGATACAGGGAATAGAACAATGAAAAATACCAAGAAACCGGTGTAGAGGGAAGAAACGCCTAATCTAAAATTACGTCCCAAAATAGAGTTGCTAATTTCTTTTGGGCACAATGTGCAGTTGTTTATTGGATAACAGCTCGTAACTGGAATTCGGAGAGCCGTGTTCCAATTCCAGTCGGGATCGCTATATTTACTTAAGCGCAAATAACCTTGGGAAAGATATGAATTCACCTCTTCTCATACCAGCAATGGGTTAATTAATAGAACTTGTATAAGCCATTGTTACCATCACAAAAATTCTTACGAACTAAAACATATTTTCTGGTTCTAGATAGCCCGCCAAATATTGATAAGTCGTAAAAAAATTTAATGAATAAATAAATAAAAAAATAAATAATAATAATAATAATAATAACAAATGTTGTCTTTGCGTTTGTATTATAGTCATTAATACTACAGTTGATATGATGCTAATGGTGACGGCAGCCATGATGAAAAACATGGCGGTGTTGTATGATGCGTAATGACTCTTAATAAAAATCCAAAGTTGTCTAGACATCGAATATACTGAAAAGTAAAATCAAATAAATAAATTTTTAGCTTTTTCTTTAATCAATTCTTTCTGTTTCTTTTTTAATAAAAGAAACAAGATCTGAGACGTATATAAGGACATGAGATCTATGACGATTTAGGTGTATAATATTTTCTGTAAATTAGATTTTGTTAAATCTATTTATTCTAACGAAACTCGGACGACGAGAGGTGTAACACAGAAATTCAAATACATATAAAAGAGCGAAAGGTACCTTTAAGAAACTAAACAAAATATTAAGAAACAGAAAATTGCCCTTAGAAACAAATAAAATAGTGCAAAACTGCTATATAATATCTAATCTTTTACATGGCAATGAATATACGATAATCTCCTCAAAGATGTAGGCTTATGGCTACATCACCTTGATCACCGAAGTTAAGCACGTCGAACCTGGTCAGTACTTAGATGGGTGACCGCTTGAGAACACCAGGTACGGTAAGAGTGGATGTGCGCGTGGTGTGATGGATAATGACTCGTTAAGATTGTTAATCGGAATGCCGAGTTCTAATTTCAGTTGAGTTCGTTTTAATCACTAACGTGAATATAAACTTAGGAAAGGTATGAATCTCCCTATTCTCCCCCATCTATGGGCTAATTAGTAAGACGTGTATCACTAAAGCATTATTATCTCAAAAAATTCAAAAATAAAATTGCGTAAAAAATATTTAAATTTCGTTATTAAGTAACTCATGCAGATGTTGATATGCCGCCAAACAAAAACAACCAACCAAATCAAAGTTGTAGATGTATCGACAAATGCTGTGAATATTCGGCAGAGAATATGTGTGCAGCGAGAAAGTTTAAAAAAAGTAGGAACCACAAGAAATCATACTTACAATTATACAAAGAATTAAGGTATGTCGGTTATTAAAAAAAATAGTAAATAAATAAAAATTAAATAAACTCTTTTTGCCATCGTGCAAAAAAAAAAAAAAAAAAAAACAGGGACCTTCATCCTAAAATTCCAAAACGAGGCTTTTCCTCTTTTCACCACGTGCCTTTACTGGTATCCGAAATCTGCAGATGACTCTTTTAACCTGAAGCCGAACAAGAAATTAAGTTCCTTCACCTAAACCACAATGCCTATCTCTTTGACTTGCATATTATAGCGGTAATCAAAGGAGAACATGACGTAACTCCGCGTTGTGAATCCCTACTATAATAAAAAAAAGACCTACAGTTTGTATCTGTATTTGAAGACTATGGACACCTTGTGAGTCATAGAATTACTTTAAACTCGCCACAAATGTGTGGAGAATTTAATGCTCACTGATTATACTGAAACAAGGGGAATAATTATGTTCGACATAAATAAAAATGAAAGAAAGAGAATAGTGATGCTACAGATATTACTACTGTAAATACAAAATCAAATATGGCGTTGCAAGAAATCGTGAAATGAAAGATAGTATTTTTAGCTTAGATTTGAAATTCTGCTGCGTTCAATCAAATCTCTTTGAGATAAAAAGGACGAAAGTTCGTATCTACACAAAACGTTATTCTTTATCTCTCATCTCTCATCAGATTGATGGCTGAGTGAAATTGCAATCAAAAAGAAAATAAAAATGGGATATGAAAATTAGTATTAACCACTAATTAATAATAAAGATTGACGATGTTTCATCTAATAAAAAATGAAGATGAAAGTTATCACTAGTTCAAAATGAATAATAATGGTCGACAATGCTTATTCCAATAAATAATGAAGATAAGAAAAAAATAATATTAACAAATAATAATAATGGTTGAAAATGCTTCATCTAATAAGAATGAAGATGAAAGTAATTGCTAGGAAAAAATTAATAATGATTGACAATACATCATCTAATAAAGACTGAAGATGAAAGTAAATACTAGTCGAAAATTAATAATGGCTGACAATACATTATCTAATAAAGACTGAAGATGAAAGTAAATACTAGTCGAAAATTAATAATGGCTGACAATACATCCTCTAATAAAGACTGAAGATGAAAGTAAATACTAGTCAAAAATTAATAATAGCTGACAATACATCATCTAATAAAGACTGAAGATGAAAGTAAATACTAGTCGAAAATTAATAATGGCTGACAATACATCATCTAATAAAGACTGAAGATGAAATTAAATGCTAGTCAAAACGTAATAATAGCTGACATTTCAGCTAATAAAATATGAAAATGAAAGTAAATACAAATCAAAACTTAATAATAATGGCTGACAATGTTTCATCTAGTAAAAAATGAAGGTGAAAGTAAATACGAGTTAAAAATGAATAATAATGGCTGACAATACTTCATCCAATAAAACTGAAGATGAAAGTAAATGCTTGTCCAAATGTAATAATAATGGCTGACAATGTTTCAACTAATAAAACATTAAAATGAAAGTAAATATAAATCAAAAATGAATAATAATGGCAGATAAAGTTTCATCTAATAAAACGTGAAAATGCAAGTTAATACAAGTCAAAAATTAATACTAATGGTTAGCAATGCTACATCTAATAAAAATAAAGATGAAAGTAAATTTTTTACAAAAATTAATAATAAAGTTTAACAATGTTTCATCTAATAAATGAAAACGTAAGTAAATACTAATGAAAAATTAATTGTAACACTTGACAAGGCTTCATTTAATAAAAAAAATGAATTAAAGTAAATACTAGTCAAAAATGAATAATAATTGTTAACAATTCTTCATCTAATAATAAACTAAATACTAGTTAAGAAAAATCTTGGCAGTTCTTTGGCTGATTCAAAATGGACTGATAAAATAAGTGCTACACATTCATTTTTACTGAAATCACCAGCAAAAATACCGCCTCTTGAAAATGGCTTAAATATTAGCCGGAAGTGATCGGGACAATAAAAACTATTGATAATTTCTCCACGCAGTCTTCATAAAATAAAAATTGTATTAAATAAAAACACTTATAAATATTTCTTCTCGGTTATATTTAACGAAACATACATAAAAGAAGTATTGCTGCTCAAATACACAATAAATACACACACACATACATACATATATATATATATAATTAAATTCTGAACAAAATCTCTATTCCTATTTATATCATACCTATATAATATACATATTTTTTTTTTCGTTTAGGTCAGGTAAACATCTCTACATTCACATCTATTAATTTTCTCCTGACAATTCAATTCACTTTATTTTTCCTTCCCCTATTTTGGGCCATATATATCTGTTCACCTGTCTCATTATATATTATTTAAAGTGTAAGCTTTTAGAATTATCCAATTAAATTGTTTAAATGAAATCTCCCTTAATTTTTTTTTTCGGGCAGAAAGCATACCTCGTGATTCGCTTCTATTGAAATTATTGTTTACCGTTCACTGGAAGCGTTTATATTAATTAGAGTTTTAATTAAAATCAAAATATTCAACGAATTAGTGGCACGCTACATCTTGGTGTACAGCCTCTATTTATATATCTTTTTTTATATTTTCTTTTTGTGTGTGTGTCATAATACATGTCAAGGCTTTTATTGCATCTGTTTTAATAAAATCAAAAATGATTGATACCCCATAAAACCAATGAAATTCAACAGTAATAAAATACCAAGTTTCGTTTCATATATACGAGAATTGCTTACGCGTATAAAAATGATTTGATTTTTACGACTTACAAATCTTTTGTAGGTTATTTAAAGCCAGAAAACGTTTTTTGAAGGTAATAATGATTTACTGATAAAAGTCTTATTAATTAACCAGTAACTAGGGTATTTTTACATAAGTGAATATAACAAGCCCGTCTGGAATTTGAACTCGCCCACGATTTCCAATTCTGAGACGTTATCCATTACACCACCTGCACATCCAAGTTTACAGCACCTAGTATCCTCAAGTGATCACCAGTCTAGGTACTGACTAGGCTCGACGTTGCTTAACTTCGGTGATCCTACGGGAACCGGTCATTCAATGTGATAAGCCCACAGATATCTGAATGAAATTATCTTATAATCAAAGTTGATCTGTGGTGACACCTGTACGCACTGGATTCACTCGATGAGTTACAAAAGTAAACTTTGTACATGATGTCCTCTCAGAGTGTCATTAGAGCTTAGTGCCTCGAGCGTTGACGTAGAAGGTATTCTCATATCTGCCAAATGCAAAATCGTGCCTCAATATAATATCGATGGCGGCGCCGACATAAACAGAAAGTGAACTCAGCTGAAGTTAGGATAAAGACAAACAAGACAATCGGATTAAAGAAATTTATATGAGCACCCGACCCACTCAAAGTCCTTGACATTCTCGCGGGAAGACGGAACGTTCGCAAAAAATCCCCCATACCACATACCCTCCATCGGCTGACTAACCCTACACGCAAGCCACCAATCTGCCACTGGGTGGTATGCCACTAACTTTTACCGCTGGGACTAGATAGATAGATAGATAGATAGATAGATAGATAGATAGATAGATAGATAGATAGATAATGAAAAGATTGAGATATATAATTAAAATAGATAGATAGATAGATAGATAGATAGATAGATAGATAGATAGATAGATAGATAATGAAACAGAATGAATCTTATGTTTTTCCGGATATATTTGATGGTAAAAATGTATTTCTTTACTTGAGAGGTACAACCATTCTCCAATAATTTGACGAGTTTCTCAGATAATTAGAACGTCGCCATTATTAGGATATCTCGTGCGATTCAAAATAAATCCATATATTGATCGATGGCTGTACAACTTCAATACTTGTAATTAAATCAAAAACACACACACACACACACACACACACACACACATATATATATATATATATATATATATATATATATATATATATATATATATATATATATATGGTGGGGGGAGTAGACAGCGCGATAATTAAAAGTCTGTCATCACATTTTTTTACAAATTTCTTCGACTATAAGAGATTTAACTTGAGATAAAAGCACGTAAATAAAGTTAAATCTGAAATTTGCCCAAATTAAATCGGCGCATTTATTTATTGCGAGTTTAATATATATATATATATGTGTGTGTGTGTGTGTGTGTGTGTGTGTGTGTGTGTGTGTACACTCCTGATCAAAAATTTAAGACCACTTGTAAATTTTTTTTAAAAAGACTGTTTTTCATGGAAAAAATTTTAAACATTTCTTATTTAAGGTTACTAATTTTATAATCTAAAAGGTTATGTAAACAAAAAGTTATAATCCGAACTTTTTATTGAGAAATTGTGATTTTTATAAAATGAGGCGTTTTACGCTTGATCAAAATTATAAGACCAGAGACATAAATTCTACGAAATTGTACGAAAAGTGTACGAAAACATTCAACAACCAAATTTAATAATGACTTCTAACTCCACTGGTTGTGATAACTTCAAAAATTCTTTGGGGCATGCTAGAAATTAGTGTTTCCATTAAGCTGCGAGGAATATTGCTCCAGCTTCTGAAGATAGCTTCATGAAGTTCATTTTTTGTTGAATATTGTTTGCCATTTCGATAAACATCTCTTGCCATCCATCCCCAAACATTTTCAATTGGGTTCAAGTCCAGTGAGCATGCAGGATATCTCAAGAGATGGAGCCCATTTTCTTGTAGAAAAGTCAAGGTCCGGCATGCAGCGTGGATTGCAGCGTGGATTGCAGCATTATCCTGTTAGAATAACCATCCATCCCCTTACAAACGATGGCCCTCCGTCACCAACGATGCTTTTTGTAGCATGCTAACATAACCAGCCGCTGTCTGACGACCCTGCATCACCTAGAGCTCCATCGTCCCTCAGTAAGAAAAGGTACCCCATACCATTAGGGACCCTCCACCACTATGAGGTGTGAAGAAAATTTCAGGAGGCATGTTTTTGTTATGCCAATATCGTTGGAAGCCATCAGGACCATCTAGATGGAATTTTTTCTCATCAGAAAACAGGACTTTCTTCCACTTCTCAATGTCCCATGTTTGGTATACCTTTTTGTCGAAAGTGTCGTCTGATGGTTACTGGACTGCAATCAGCATCTGTGGCTGCCTTAACTTGACTAGAAGAAAGTCGACTGGCTTTCACAACAACCCGTCTTATTCTCCTACTCAATGCCGGAGAAATGTTTGGGCCTACCAGTAGACTTTGCTTTTCCATAATTCGTACTGTCCTTTAGAAAGTTGCAAATCAGTTTTACTGCGATTTACCTTAGCTGCGATCGTCCGCTGTGACAAACATTGATTATGGAAATCTAGAATTCGAGCACGCTCAACTTCGGTAAATTTGCTTGCTTTAGGCCTGGTGACATCTTTACGCAGTGATTGCTAATCTCTAACTAAACTAAAAACATTGGAATTACCCTAGATCTAACAATTTATACCCCCTGGTCTTATAATTTTGATCAAGTGTAAAACGCCTCATTTTATAAAAATGTTCATTTCTGAATAAATTGATCGGATTAAACTTTTTTTTATAACTTTTTGTCTACATAACCTTTTTGATTATAGAATTAGTAACCTTAAGTAAGAAAAAGTTTATAATGTATCCATGACAAAGAGTCTCTTATAAAATATTTTCAAGTTGTCTTAAATTTTTGATCAGGAGGTGTATATATATATATATATATATATATATATATATATATATATATATATATATATATATATATATTTGTATGTGTTTAAAATTGTTTTCAGATAGAATGTAACTGTAAAGGGACAAAATCACGAAAAGGATAAGAGGAAAAATTTTCCTTGATAAAAATCCATCAGAGGACGAAAACGCATCAGCTAAAATAGTTTTTCCTCTTGTCTTTTTTATTCATATATATATATATATATATATATATATATATATATATATATATATATATATATATATATATATGGGAATTTAATTTATATATATATATATATATATATATATATATATATATATATATATAATTATTTCATCCATGCAAGGCAGTAAAGCCACTAAGAAACAAGTGGTTACTGAGTGCGAAGAAATAGGAAAAAAGAGAAACATTACTAAGGAGTTAGATCAATAAAAGAAGAAGAATCAGGAAAACAGTAGATAACGATTGACATTGCATTTAAATTTTTGAAGATCAAAGTTGGCTGGGAAATATATAGTCGGAAGATTTTTCCACAAGTGAGAAAAGTGAGAGAAGAAACTGTTAGCATAGAACTTACGCATATAGCCTTGAATTGATGAGACCTTGGCAACAATCTAGTACTTAAATTCAACCTAAGTACCACGGCGGAGAGTTCCTCCGAACAATTACCATAAAAGTATTTATCGAAAAAGCACAGGAATGTTAGATTACAGCGGTGGGAAAGTGACTGGAACCGCGATGTCAGGTCAGGACCAGTAATATACATGATTCTTCTTTGGACTTTATCAACAATTTCTAAATGTATAGCCACATCACCGGACCTTATATGGTAGCAATAGTCAAAGCATGGACGAATAGTAGACTTATAAATATGTAAGAAAAATTGTCTAGTACGACAGAGTGAATCAACATTCTTAGCAGCAGACCGAGCAATGGATTCAATATAATCTGATGACGAGCGGCAGAAAGAGTCTCACAGATGATTAATAGAGAGAAGTTTCGTTTTGATTGATCAGTTTTATTAGGGAAAATGTATAGGGAAATCAATTATCTGCGTAAGAGACTGAGCAGCGGAAAAGTTGAATGTCTCAATACCGGACACATCAATAACATTAGAATGCTTAAGCTAATTCTCATGATCGGCATTAAAATCACCAAATGCTGAACTGTTCACAGATGACAGTAGAGAGAGAAAGAGGGGCAGAGGTGGGGTCATTTCTATACTGTCGAAAATGTTGTTTAATATACTGCAGTCCTGAGAAGATGGGGAGCGGTAAAGGAAAAAAGTGATTGCTAAAGAATGCAATAACGAAAGTCGAGAGCAAATAAAATCTGGGTATTCAAGGGACAATACCCTTGCCAGTGGCAGATTTTCCCGGATATAAACGCCAAGGCCATGCAATATGTATCATAGAATCTCTTCGATCAAGAGAAAGATAGCCAGAAACAAAGAAATCATTGGTAGCAATGGAAGAATTTGAATTGGTTTCACAAAGTGCAAAGATACCTGGAGACCGTTTCTACACTGCAGAAATTGGAGCGGATACCCATGAATATTGGATAAAGAACAGTTGAGATGGAGGGGGTGATGTTTTTGTTTTGTTTTGAGGAGAAAAAAGAAAAGAAAAAGAATAATTATCACTATCTGTCGTCAATGTCAACTAGCCAGAACGTTGCTGTGACCTCATGTGACCTCAGGGCTGCCCACCGGAAATACATGCAGGGACACCTAACCATACGCGTCATGATATCACAATTATCCCGATATTATGCAAGTGTTGATCAGAACAGCCTCTCTCTCTCTCTCTCTTTCTCTCTCTCTCTCTCTCTTTTACTACCAGTCGAGTACAGCAAGAAGAAAACTGCCAACACTGTACTCTCAGCGTTGCAGCCACTAATGAGTCAGATCATCAAAAAGTGAGGATGATTAAATTATTGTAGCCACAAGACAAAAAAGAAAGAACCGTTAAACAATATCCTAAACAGGAAACAAGACATAAACCACTACTTCTGTTCAATAAACCAATAGACATGAAAGGAATGCAGCCTATCTACTGCTTTTAACCTGTTCATTCCACAGAAGGCTGGTTGATTTTATCGAGAAACCAATCTTACCAAATAAGGCCACAAACCACTTCCAGGCATATATATTTTACTACGTTAATAAAAACACCGATTAAAATAAAAATAAATAAATATATAAGATAAGAAAGAAAAATAAAAAATAAATAAAAAATAAATAATGACAAGCAAAATAATTTAACCCAAATAAATAAATAAACAAATAAACGACTTCAGGTAAAATAACCGCCAAAATAGACTACCCACAATGCACCACTGACCCGTATATATGAATAGCCGAGAAAAA